GTTTTTTTTTGGGGCGTTTCCGGGTGTTTTTGGGAGTCGGGGTTTTTTGTATGGTAATTTAAGGGTGGGGTCAGCCCCGCCCACAATAAAGGCGTTGATTGGATGAGGTCTCTCGTGGGGGTTTTTGGGGGGAATTGTGGGAAAAATAATGAAAAGGAAATGGTTTTGGATGGTTTTGGGGGAAATGGTGGGGGAGGGGTGGGAAAATGGAGGGGAATGGGAGGAAAATGGCGGGAAATGAGGGGGAAATTGTGGGAAATGTGAGGGGAAATGGAAATTCTGAGGGGAAAATGGAGGAAAATTTGAGGGGAAAATGTGAAGGGAAAATGGAGAAAAATGTGAGGGGAAAATGGAGGAAAATGTGAGGGGAAAATGGAGGAAAATGTGAGGGGAAAATGGAGGAAAATGTGAGGGAAAAATGGTGGAAAATGTGAGGGAAAAATGGTGGAAAATGTGAGGGGAAAAAAAGTGGGAAATGTGAGGGGAAATAGTGAGAAATGTGAGGGGAAATGGTGGGAAATGTGAGGGGGAAAAGTGGAAAATGTGAGGGGAAAAGGTGAGAAATGTGAGAGGAAAATAGAGGGAAACCTGAGAGAAAATGGTGGGAAATGTGAGGGGGAAATGGAGGAAAATATGAAGGAAAATGGCGGGAAATTTGAGAGAAAATGTGAGGGGAAATGGAGGAAATGTGAGGGAAAAATGGTGGAAAATGTGAGGGAAAAAAAAGTGGGAAATGTGAGGGGAAAATGGTGGGAAATGTGAGGGGAAAAATAGTGGGAAATGTGAGAGGAAAATGGAGAAAATTCTGAGGGGAAAATGGAGGAAAATCTGAGAGGAAATGAAAGAAAATGTGAGGGGAAAAGGTGGAAAATGTGAGGGGAAAATGACGGGAAATGTGAGGGGAAAATGTGGGAAATTTGAGGGGTAAAAAAGGAAGAAAATGTGAGAGGGAAAAGGAGGGAAATGTGAGGGGAAAATGGAGGAAAATGTGAGGGGGAAATGGAGGGAAACGTGAGGGGAAAATGGAGGAAAAAATGACAGGAAAATGGTGGTAAATTGAGGGGGGAAAAGGTGGGAAATGTGAGGGGAAATGATGAGAAATGTGAGGGGGAAATGGAGGGAAATGTGAGGGGAAATGAGGGAAAATGGAGGAAATTATGAAGGAAAATGTGAGGGGAAAATGGTGGGAAATGTGAGGGGGAAATGGAGGAAAATCTGAAGGGAAATGAAGGAAAATGTGAGGGGAAAA